CAATACCTCTAACTCTCCATTTAATAACTCTCCTCTCCTATTTTTAACTGACAAATCCATTTGTTCTTTAGGATTTCTTAACTTGTTAATCTCACTCCAAAACTTTTTCTTATTTTCAACAAAATTTGTTGATAACATCTCACCCACTCTCTCATTTGCTCTCTTTTTACATTGCTTCACCACTCTCTTAACCTCTCTCTTTTTCTCCATATACTCTTCCCTCCTTGCATCACTTCTACTTTGTAAAAACTTCTCATATGCTAACTTTTTCTCCCTTACTACTCTCTTTACATCATCATTCCACCAATCGCTCCTCTTCCCTCCTGCACCCACTTTCTTGTAACCACAAACTTCTGCTGAACACTCTAACACTACATTTTTAAACCTACCCCATACCTCTTCGACCCCATTGCCTATGCTCTCATTAGCCCATCTATCCTCCAATAGCTGTTTATATCTTACCCTAACTGCCTCCTCTTTTAGTTTATAAACCTTCACCTCTCTCTTCCCTGATGCTTCTATTCTCCTTGTATCCCATCTACCTTTTACTCTCAGTGTAGCTACAACTAGAAAGTGATCTGATATATCTGTGGCCCCTCTATAAACATGTACATCCTGAAGTCTACTCAACAATCTTTTATCTACCAATACATAATCCAACAAACTACTGTCATTTCGCCCTACATCATATCTTGTATACTTATTTATCCTCTTTTTCTTAAAATATGTATTACCTATAACTAAACCCCTTTCTATACAAAGTTCAATCAAAGGGCTCCCATTATCATTTACACCTGGCAACCCAAACTTACCTACCACACCCTCTCTAAAAGTTCCTCCTACTTTAGCATTCAGGTCCCCTACCACAATTACTCTCTCACTTGGTTCAAAGGCTCCTATACATTCATTTAACATCTCCCATCTCTCTCTCTCTCTCCTCTGCATTCCTCTCTTCTCCAGGTGCATACACGCTTATTATGACCCACTTCTCGCATCCAACCTTTACTTTAATCCACATAATTCTTGAATTTACACATTCATATTCTCTTTTCTCCTTCCATAACTAATCATTTAACATTACTGCTACCCCTTCCTTTGCTCTAACTCTCTCAGATACTCCAGATTTAATCCCATTTATTTCCCCCCACTGAAACTCTCCTACCCACTTCAGCTTTGTTTCGCTTAGGGCCAGGACATCCATCTTCTTTTCATTCATAACATCAGCAATCATCTGTTTCTTGTCATCCGCGGTCAATTAGCGGTCGGTAGATTTAGATTTAGATTTTGCCACCGAAGTGGCTAGTTTATTGTGCACCCCATATCCATCCTGTGGACGGTAGCGCGAGAGCATATGGATACACAAAAGGCCTAGGAACTAGGCCCCAAAGGGTTAACAGGAATACATATGGATTTATATCTACATATCTATAGTTCACTTATCTGTTGCAAGCAAATTTAGGAAATTTGCTTAGTATATCTGGTATCTTATTTTCATTAATAAGATATCTTGACATGTCACATAGGTTATTATACTGTCTCTGTATTCCTCAATAAGTGGACAATTAAGCACATAGTGTTCAAGAGAGTGACCATATGCCTGATCACATAATTTACATTTAGTTTGATCATCATCTGTGTGTCTCCCAAACTGCCAGAAGTACTTGTAACCAAGCCTAAGCCTGGCCACTACAACATCAGTCAGTCTGTTCACATTGCACGTTGCTCCATAAACATACTTATCTACGTTCATGTTATCATAGTGGGTTATAGATCTACTCAGGCTTCTAACTGCATTCCTATAACAATCATTTTCATTATTTACTTCTCTCCTAATATTATTCCTAATGCTAGACACAGTTATACCAAAGTTATATTGTACATTCTCCTTCTGGGTACTCTTCTTGGCTAACATATCAACTTTATCATGAAGGAGTAATCCAATGTGTGATGGGATCCATAGCAATTGTACATTAATTCCTTTGTCCCTAATTTTTGAGTATCTATACCTGGCTTCTCCAATGAGCATGTTGTTGGAGTCATTATATGAGTCAAGAGCCTTCAATGATGACATAGAATCAGTAATGATGATAGAGTCAAGCTCAGTATCATAGGTTAGCTTTAGCGCCATTAGGATTGCAAACAATTCAGTTTGCAGTGTAGACGCCCAGTTGTTAATTCTTATGCCTAACTCAACAAATTTATTATCGTTCTTAACTAGGGAGGTGGCAACAAGAGCCCTGCCAGAAGACGGTGCGGTACGTTCCCATAGAAAGGCATAGATGCTGCTTCAGCCCTCCAAGTAAGCTTGTACAGCAGGTAGTGCTTGGGTTTTGCCCTTTATTTTTCTCTAAAAAGGTAGCTGTATAGCCCTTGTGGTTTAGCGCTTCTTTTTATTATTATAATAATAATAATAATAATAATAATAATAATAATAATAATAATAATAATAATAATAATCTAAAAAGGTAGTAAACTAATAGTGGTGCTTAATTTTGATAAATAATGATAATATTTGTAAAGAACAATATTTTACAACAGCAAAATCAACAAGAGTACCAGCAGTCACTTATCACACTGCGGGTGGCAGCAACGAGCTGCTGCATCACACTGTTGACCTTGCTCTTGTAATCAAGTGTGATCTGTAATGAAACTTCCCATCAAAACCACATTTGACTTCTGGGATATTAACACGTTGCGACCTTCTTTGTGCCTGCTCAAGCTTTATGTTAATAATTATATTTCATTGTCAGGTTTATTTATTACTTCTGGCATTAATAGTGTTCCATATAAACTCGCCAGAGATCTTACAAAGCATCTCGGGAAGTTTATGGGAACTATCAGCAAAGCGCATTGGCATCATTCCAGTGATCTAAACCGCTTCAAAGATATCGAAAAAAAAAATGAGTTGGAAAATCTGTTACATCGAAGCTTACGACCTATCTCCCGATTTGCAAATAGGTACCGCATTTGTCATTTGCCACTTATGTGGTAAGATAGCCTAGCTAATGGTTTACTATGTTCCTCCTTTCATTCTTGTATGTCCTTCAAAACAGTCCTTCAGGGCCTCGTGACTTATTTGGTTTTAACATATCTATTTGTTTAAGGGCCATGTCACTAGCGACTTTGAGCTTGCATAATTAATTTTTGTCCTGACCTATAAAATAACTAGACGCCTTAGAAATTTCGTCCCAAAGAAGTTTGCCCACATCACTAACTAGATTTGGAGGTCTGCAAATCCCACCTAATATTAGTTTTTCACGCTCTTCAAGAAACTGTAAAAATATAATTTCGATTTCCGTCACTTCTGCCTTTATATCATTTCTGATACTACAGTTTAAATTTTCCCCCTGATATACATAGCAACTCCGCCTCTCTCCCTGTTGACTCTGTCTGTGTGGAATAATTTATAACCCTGTATGTGGCACTCAGCAAGAATCTCCCGATTTTTTCAGACTGATTAACTTATCGGTTATTGCAGACAACATCTATATTTGCCGAAGATGCAATTAGCCTTAGTTCATCTACATCATTTCTTGTGCTCCGACAATTAGTACAATAGAAGCTAAAGTAGTTATTTCCTCGACTCTCTCCACTGTCTCTCTTTCTTTTTTACAACAATTTCTTTATTTTTATCATTAACTAGCTTTTAAGCTATTATGTTTTCTGAATGCTTTCGTAAGATACTTTGATAATTTTTGTTCCGTCCATCCTTAATGCTGCAGCCTTTCTTGTTTCCTGCACTAACGCATATCTCTACCTTCCATCAGTTTAAAGTCTTATACTACTCAGCAAGGGCCTTCCCTCTTGACTGTACTGGTGAAGGCAGTCACTCCTGCACCGCAGAGATGTACCCCATCCCTTGCATACATATCATGTTTGCCGTAAAAATTATTCCAGTTGTCAATGAAGACTACAATAGCACTGCATTATCTGTCTAAGCAGCAACCCCAACTGCTCATTCCCAGGCAAAATGCTGCATATGGTCAGGATCCCACCCTTTGATCTAATTAAATCTATAACTGTATTGTACTTGGTTAATAATTCCCACCTCCTGCATTTCCCAATATAGTTTCCACCAGCACCGAGACAGATAACCGGGTTGCTTTTATTGCCTGACGTAATATTATCTAACCTGCTACGTCAATACTAGAAGCCAGGAAAACACACACTGTCTCACCTTCCTGTCCTTATTAAAGAACGCTCGGTCCATCTATTTAGTCTGTAAATCGCCCGCAATTAGAACAGTCTTACCTGTATTAGTAGAAGGGTTAATGTACTTTCGTCTTCGCTGACCACTGTAGTACATTCGTCCTGCAATACAGAGAAGCGATTTTCCACCTAGAAGCCTGCTTCATTTACCTTGCTTAATTTGATGCTTATTCCTTTGCTGCAAACCACTTCCCATTTGTTACTTCTAACAACCTCCACTTCATTGCTGCTAACGTGCTTCCCTTCACAATCATCAACCATTAGTGCACACATCCAAACAAATTATAATTTTCCTCCTTGAGAAGTACCTCCTCCTTTAACATCCTGAGCTCTTATTCTAATATAGTACAAAAGCATGTCTTAATAACACTATACACGTCACACTATATATTCCCTAAAAATAAAATAAATATCGTTCGTTTTCTTGCGCGTTTAGGCATTACTTCTGAACGATCTGTGTGTACATGTCCGAACTTAAATTAATTTTAAAATGGGTTAAAATATTTTAATGTTAGTTAACCTATATGTAATTGATTTTACCGTAGGTAACCTTAATAATACAGAAATATAAAATGGAGGAGGGCAGCCCCTGTAGGAAGACGTATATCCACCTCACTGGAAATAAATTACTGACTTTTTTGGGGGGTTATCCTAGGTAATTTACACAATGTATTATAATTGTACTTATGTGTACCTGCACCTAAATAAACTTACATCCTACATGCCTTTGATGCCCACCCATAGTGGCATCCTAGCTCAGGTTCTCTTGCATCGCGCTGCTCGAACCTCACCTGCCAATATCTGAAGACTCTATCTCCTGGACGATCTTGGAGACGTTGGCGGCGGGTTGGAAGCACTTGCCCACCTTGTGTATGAGGGCAGTGGTAGAGGAAGTCTTGAAGAGCCCCAGCGTGCGTCGCTTTAGTCCATGTGAGAGACACGCCTCTACCGCGCCTGAGCACCACAAAAAAAAAAAAAAAACTGTTTACCACACCCGTAATAGTTCACTCTGGTTGTAAGGTTTCTTGTCGGAATGGGTAGAAAGATGGTGAAAAGGGATACCAAAAGTGGCAGATACACACAAGCACACACATATATGCCCACATACATACATATCACCAGTAAAATTCCAGGTACCAATACCCAAGCAGGTGATTATCTGAATGGAAACTACCCAACATCCCTCTGTCTTGCACCAACCGAGCCCAAGGAAGTCACCATGATTATTAATTCACTAAAAAATAAATTAGGAAATATAGCTCATGTCCCACCACTATTGTACAAACGAGCGGCTCAGGTCCTTTTACCCACCATTACATTACTCTTTAACAAATCACTAGAAACCAACACTTTCCCAACATCGCTCAAGATAGCAAGGGTTACACCAATATACAAAGGTGGTGACCCAACAGATGTAAACAACTATAGGCCAATATCAAACTTGCCTTTACTATCCAAAATCTTCGAGAAACTCATACACAAGAGATTATTCTTTTTCATAACAACACACAGCATTCTCAACCCCTGTCAGTTTGGTTTCAGGAGAAATAAAAGCAAATGACGCAATTATAAAAATGCTAGACCTACTATACACAGCACTCGAGAAAAATTAATTTGGACTCTTTATCGTCCTAAGGAAGCTTTTAATACGGTAAATCACGGCATCCTGCTCCACAAACTTGATCACTACGGTATAAGGGGCCATGCACTTGTATATATCAAGTCTTGCCTTACTAATAGACAGCGATGCGTCTCTATTAAGAACACAATCTCCACAAGACCTCTGGACATTGGCGTGCTTCAGGGAAGCGTTTTTGACCCCCTCCTTTTCTTTCTATACATCAACGACCTTCCAAATGTATCGCAACAATTTAGACCAATTCCCTTTGCTGACGACACAACTTCTGCCTCACTCAACACTATGGTTAATGAAGAGCTCGTAAAAATATCGACCTGGATGACTGCTTATAAACTCACACTGAATATTGGCAAAACTTATATTATGTTTGGATGCAGAGCAAGTGAGGTCCAACTAAACACCATGGTTAACAATACCCTTAATGCTAAAAATAATGAGGGAAAATTTCTGGGTCTGCGCGTCGAAAGCACCTCGAAATTCAACACCCATATCCAACACACAACAAGAAAAGTATCCAAAACAGTTGGCATTCACTCAAAGATATATTATTATATACCACAAACAACATTACTTACACTATACTATTCACTGATCTACCCCTACCTCACTTACGCTATTTGTGCCTGGGGATCCACATCAGCAACTCACCTAAAGCCAATAATAACCCAACAACAAAAAGCTGCAGTGCGGATGAGCACAGAGTCCACTGCTAGACAACCCCCCCTCCCCCTACTCTTCAAAGACCTAAACCTACTCACTATACAAAACATTCACTCGTACTACTGTGCATCCTACATTTACAGAACAATAAATTCTAATATAATTCCCGATATGAAGCACTTTCTTGATAGTTGCAACAGGACCCATAGACATAATACTAGGCGAAAAAATCTATATGACATTCCCCGTGTCCGGCTAAATCTCTTCAAAATTTCAATGTAGATAATGTACATAAAAGAGCCCAAAACTTGGAACTCTGCCAGAAATCTACAGAAGCACTGACTCAGCCAGCATTTAACTACGGTTAAAAAGCATCTTATCTCCCTAACATATCCCAGCATCAACTGGGATATGTAAAACTATACATGTATATTATCAATGTCATGAATATATGTAAAACATTATAAACAATATATACTTACTCTCATTATCTGTAACCCTCCCATTCGTTAAACAATTGATTGTGCCTCCTTTTAGGTAAGATAAGATAAGATAAGATAAAATAATCAAACCTGTAATTCCACTCAATTAAAATTGTTAAAGTTATATAGCATGAACTAGTAGAATAATCAAGTCTCTTGTATTCATTGTAAACTCCTAAAGTTACACTTTACTGTTATTGCCTTATTAATTACAAGTTAGTTTTAGGTTTGCCGAAATGCTTTCGGCATGTCATTCTCCTTTGTACAAACATTGTATCATGCCGAAATAAACTATTATTATTTTTTTTTTCAACGTACCAGCCGTATCCCACTGAGGTGGGGTGGCCCAAAAGGAAAAACAAAAGTTTCGCCTTTTAAATTTAGCAATATATACAGGAGAAGGGGTTACTAGCCCCTTGCTCCCGGCATTTTAGTTGCCTCTTACGACACGCATGGCTTACGGAGAAGAATTCTGTTCCACTTCCCCATGGAGAAAATAATAATAATAATAATAATAATAATAATAAATAATAATAATAATAATATTATTATTATCCCCCCCCAGTACCAACAATACCACCAGTCCGATAACATTCTTCTTTGCAAATATACAGGGTCTAAAGCCAGCTACAAACAACAAAATACCTTTCATCCGTGGACTGCTTGCAGAGGCAAAGGCAATGTTCGCGGCTTTCACTGAGACCCACATAAAGGATCACTTGGACAACGAAGTATGGATCCCAGGTTACAACCTATACAGATGTGACAGAGTGAACAGGCAAAAGGGGGGGTTGGCCTGTACATTGCAGAGTCACTTGTTTGCACAGAACTGCTTAATGCCTCAAATGACGTAGTGGAAGTTTTAGCAGTAAAGGTCGAGAACCAAAACCTAGTCATTGTGGTAGTCTACAAGCCTCCGGATGCAACATCCCAGCAATTCCAGGAACAGCTGTTAAAAATTGACCACTGTCTGGAAAATCTTCCAGCTCCTGCACCCAACATCTTGCTCCTGGGGGATTTCAACTTAAGGCACCTAAAATGGAGGAATAAGCAAATAATATTGTTGCAGTAATAACACCAGGAGGCAGCTCTGATGAAAACTCACACTCACACGAGCTTTTAAATCTCTGCACAAAATTCAATTTAAACCAGCAAATAATAGAGCCTACAAGACTGGAGAATACACTAGACCTCATCTTCACTAACAATGATGATCTGATAAAAAAAGTCACCATATCAAAAACAATATACTCAATCAAAAACTAATTGAGGTTCAGACATTATCATGGACCCCCAGACCACAAAAGAGATGTCACGGGGGAGCATTCCCCAAATTCAATTTCAATAAAAAAAACATAAAGGGGCCCAAGAAAACAAGCCCCAAACCGATATAAGCGGGGAAGATATATAAGAAACAAGCCCAAAACTTATCCTAAACAGTTAAAACTGGTGGCACCGATGTATGCACAAGGCTTATTCCTCAAAGAAAAAGGAGGAGTAGTGTAAAATAGAAAGAACAGGCGCTCCCTTTACAGGCGGGGAAAAGAATAACAGAGCGGCTAAAAGAGGTCAATTTATCTGAAATGCGCGGGAGACACTGTAGAGAAATAGCAAGCATCGAACTTAAGCAAAAGAATCCTTTGGGGGTCAGGAATCGCGGGAAGAACTAAAAGCCCTAAATGAAAAACGAAAGAAAAACCCAAAATATTTCTTTCCCATGCCAAATCAAAATCGAGAACAAAAGTCCATATGGGCCCCTACTTTAAAAAAGATGGGTCCACACAGATCAGCAAGGGGGAAAGGTGAGCTATCAAGTCCCCCAATATGTTCGTTTTGAAGCCCCCTAACCGACTGAGAGTCGAGACCAAAATAAATTTTTTATGAGAGAGCCACAAAATTTGATAACCCAAACCTATCCGATGTTATCCGACGCCAAATGACTTCGAAAGGGGGTAAATGACATGCCCTTCACTCTGCCCCCGGGGGCCCGCTCATGAATCTTTTGTTCATCAAGAACGCAAAACCCCTATCACGACCCTTTTCCATCCTATGGAAGGGAGCATGGGCACGGGGGTCGTCCCTCAGTACTAAAAACCAAAACAGACAAAGCCCCACTCCACAAAGGGGGCGTAAAGCAACAGCAAAGAACTACAGACCAAAAGCACTAACATCCCTATCATAAAAAAATTTTTAAAGGGTCCAAGAACAAGATCACCACCCCTAAAACCCATCATTACACAACCCAGGGCAAAGGGGTTTGAACGGGTCGCTCCTGTCTGTCTCAACACGGATACTACGACAAGGTCCTAAATGCACTAGAAACAAAAAAAATGCAATGAAATTTATACAACTTTCCCAAAGCCTTCGACAAGTGGACCTGGGTAATAGGCACAAAATGCGCGCTAAAGGAATAAGGAAAGTCGGCGAGGGTCTATAATTCCTCACTAACAGAACACAGGAGTGTCGTAAACAGAGTAAAGTCCGGGCAGCAGGGTTTGAAAAGCTCTGTCCCAAAAGACTACTAGCTCCCATCTTTTCCTACCTCTTTCCCGACTAGAAAAGGATGTCAGCCACAGCACCTTTTCTTCCTTTGCAGATGACACCCGAATCTGCATGCAGGTTTTCCCATTGCAGCACTAAAAGGCCCGGGCGGACATAACCAAATTTTCAGTGGGCGCAGAAAACAATATGAATTCAACGATGAAAAATTTAAATTTACTCAGATATGGTAAATGAGGAAATTAAATCTTTTTAGAGTACAAAACAAATTCTGGCCCAAAAAGAGCGAAACCCCAACGTAAAAAGACCTAGGGGGTTTTATGTCGGGATCTCCCCTTAAAGGGACCATAACTTTGTATCAATCGCATCTGCTAAAAAATGACAGGAGGATAATGAAAACCCTTCAAAACAAAGGGGGGCCCAAACCCCTGTGACACTCTTCGTCACTTTTCTTTCTAGGCTGGAATATTGCTGCCTCTAACACCCTTTAAAGGGCGGTGAAATTGCCGACCTAAAAATGACAAGAATTTCACGGCGCGCATAACGGGGAAAAAACCCTCTTTTACTGGGACGTTTGAGGTTTCAAAAAACCCTTTTTCCCCGGAACGCGGAGGGAGAGTAAAGATTAAAACACCTGGGAAAAACCTAGGGGGACAGTCCAAACTTGACACGAA